ATCAGGACTTAAGAATATTTTAGTTGGGAGGAAAAAATATTGAAAAATAGGATGGAACTTGCCATTTCCTTCTTTACTGAGGTGACATTGAGAATAAGTTGCCAACTGTAAGTTTGATCGATCTTGTTTGCATTTCCATATTCATTTCAACTTCCATAAAACATTCTCAGCAGCAGCTTCTTTGTGTGGTGAGATGAAGGTGGTGTAACAGTTCTGGGTTATTTTGGGTGGCACACTGGCTCATGAAGCTAAGTGTTACCTGACACAAGATGAGTTTCTGTTAACTTCAGCTCGTGATGTTTTCCAGAACGACTCAATAAAATGTTCAGAGTTAGAGTTTGTAGATTGTCTTTGTGGTGTTGAATATCCTAGATTTGAAAGCACCTAATACTTTTGCTTTGTAGAGTGTTAGGTCATGCATCTGCTTGACCTAGAACCATCTTAATGTCTTAGTCTCATCTCTTTAGGCTCAAAAGCAGTGAAGTTTGGGAGAAATGTATAATCACCATTCATCAGATAGCATATTTTAGTAGTCATGTGTCCTTAGGTAATTCATAGATTAAACAGTTCTATGAGATGTGAGCTGATGCTTTGTTCTTTCTCGACAGCATGTTGTCATTTAGAGTGAGTACAATTCAGTGGTTTGGTCTTTTGAGTTGTATCTTCAGAAAGAACTGGGTTGTATGAAATCTGATGTGCTACTGAAAAATTACTGTTATGTGTTGTTAGGCTTTGCAGTTAAGCCCATAATCTTGGCATCTGATTAGTAGTGCCATTTCTATAATTCCCAGTGAATTTAAAAAAATGATAGCATTGGAAAAATATGTATTTGTTTATACAATTAAGTCCTAGTAATTAGAGTAGAGCTTTCATTACTGCCTATCACCTGAACCACAGACAGGTAACTGAATGTCTCTTAAACCACATTTCACTCATGCTTCAGATAAAGTTAATAATGCCTTCTATTAAAGCTGAAAAAGAAACATGTTACATGTGTGTTCCAGTTTGCTTATGATTGCTGTGATAAAACACCTCAACCAAAAGTAACTTGGGGAAGAGTTCAGCTTATAGTTTGTAGTTTATCATGAAGGGAAATTAGGGCAGGAATTGAAGCTACTTACTGACTTGTCCAGCCTGATTTCCTGTGTAAACCAGGACCACCTGATCAGGCAGTGGTTCTCAACCTTCCTAGTGCTGTGACTGTATAATATAAATTTCTTATGTTGTGGTAACCCCCCAACCATACAATTATTTTTGTTGCTACTTCTTAACTGTGATTTTTCTACTGTTATGAAACATTATGTAAATACCCACGTTTCCCAATGGACTTAGGTGTTGCCTGTGAAAGGCTCATTAGACCCCAAAAGGGGTCATGACTGACAGGCTGAGGAATGCTGTACTGGGGTAGCACTGCCCACTTCAGTCATTAATCAAATAAATATTGGCTGTGGTCCCTCTTGTGGAAGCCCCTTTTTAATTGAAGTTTCCTCTTCCCAGTTGACAAAAAGAAAAAAAAATTCTAATCAGGACATTATGAGACTCACACTCTTCCTTTGTAAAGTAGATGTGACCTGTTGCTGCTATACTAGTTTATCCAATAATGTTAGACTATATATGAGTTTTATACTACTTAATTAGGGTAACGATATAGTTATAATGAATAATAACTTGTTTTATAACAGATAAGAAAAATAATAAAACAAATATATTAATAAAATAAAATATTCATGTGATTTCATTCTAGATACCCCACTAATATGTTCAAAGTATTGATATAATACAGTAGTGAATTCTTTGAAAGATTAGAATACATCTGTAGTATTTAACTTGAGCAGCATTGGCATTCAGCTGTGAAAGCTGGTACCTAAATCAGTAAATAACTAACCAGTCTCACAATATCTCCTGCATGTTCATGCATACATGCGGCATTTTCTCATTCACAGAAATAGAAAACTGCATTTACTACAGGAAAAGCTTATTTGTCTGGCAAGCTAAACCCAGATGAAAAGGTATTAATTAGTGTAAACTAAGACAAAGCTGAAGTGCTTTCAGTTTATGAGTATTTGGCCACATTCTTAGAGGAGAGATGAGTGTTCCAAGCTCAGAAGGAATGGGGAAAGAATGTTAAACCTAGAGAATGAGGCCACAGGATGGGCAATGCAATAGGTTGTTGTAGAATATAATTTTAAGGTATGTTACTTTTGTTTATGCTGTGAAACATTTTTCTAATGATGCAAAGATGTGTTCCATTCATTTATATTGCATTTGTTTCTTTGCCTGTCTAAAACACCTGATGATCTAATAAAGAGCTGAACAGCCAGTAGCAAGGCAGGAGAAAGGATAAGCAAGGCTGGAAGCCAGAGACAATAAATAGGAGGAGAAATGAGAAGAGAAGATGGAGCAAGAGAACAAGGAAAGGAAGATGCTAGGGGCAAGTCACACAGCCAGCCACAGAGTAAGAGTGAAAGTAAGATATACCAAAGTAAAAGAGAAAGGAAAAAGCCCAGAGGCACAAGGTACATGGGTTAACTTAAGAAAAGCTGGCTAGAAATAAGCCAAGCTAGGGCTGGGCATTCATAAGTAAGACAAAGCCTGTGTGTGTGATTTATTTAGGAGCTGGGTGCTGGGTACCCCCAAAAGAGCCCAAAGAGTAAAAAAACCAAACAGCTACAGTAGTTCCCTTGCACATGAAAAAATGGTCTATGAGGCTAGACTGCAGGGATTCCACTGCTGGTTCGGAGGCTTCAGGGCATGGGGACTCACTGAATATGATTAATATGATTTAAAAGGAAGGGTAAATGCTGACACAGAAGACAACATGGATTGATATAAAGAGAAATGAAGTGACAGAAGTGAACAGAGCAGGAGGTTTGAGCAGTCTAGGAGTGATGTAATTAGTGCTTAACAGTAAAAATTGGACCTTTAAAGTTTTGAAAAAGTACATTCCTGCATACCTCTCAGTCTGGGCTTTGATGTGGGCTGCCTGTTGATGTTAATACTACTTAAATGCATCTAATTCCTAAAGGAAAAGAAGCTAAGTAATTTAAACTGTTTGTCAAATTAAGTACAGTATTTCAAGAGATTAAAACAAAAACCATTAGGTTTAATATGTTTTAGTCCCATACATGTTCACTTAGTTCAATATGTAGCTCTTGACTCTCACATTAGCAGTTATAGATTTTATTGTTACTAATCTTCACTCTTGATCATTTCTTCTTTGAACTTTCCAGGGTTGTCATCTCTTCATTTTAAATTGCAGTTGTTAAGTAGACTTATATCAGTTTTAGCAGCTACCTTTCTTTTTTCTTTTTTTAAATCTTGCTAAGTAAACAGTTTTGTTTTCATGATTATGTAAAACTTTTTCACATGAGAAGTTACTAGCAGAGTATTTGTAAGGTTTCTATCTGGTATTATTTGTAAAACTTCATCTTCCATTTTGATTTCTTGTGTTAAAAAGAAATTCCCTTATTTTAGGCCAGTGTATAGTCCTACTCTTGTTTTACAGATCTTTTCTTTTGCCAACTGTCACCCATTTCAGACCCCCCCCCATGTAGCCAGTGCTTTTAAGGCTGTTATCTTCATAAAAGTTTCTATGCTTTTGCTTTAATCAATGCCAATTTTTGTTAATCTTCAAACTGTAGCTATTTTTAAAATCCCTGTAATTTTAAATATATATAATGTTTATAAATAGAGGAAAAACAAATAAATGTATGTACTTCTCTTCATTTTGGATCTGAAGAAATTTTCAGTCAGATACATTTGTATCTGAATCCTTGGAAAAGGTGATGGAGACAATGCTTACATTGTTGGGATATGAGAAGTCTGATGGATTTTACATATATCAGTTAAAAAAAGGGGGAAACCATGTACACAAACATGTTTTATACTATAATTTTACTTCCATCTGTTTTCTAAGACTGTAGACTTTTTATTGATTAGATAGAACTTGATAGTTTGGTTTTACATTTTAATCCATTGTTGTTCAGATTCCTGTTGGGTTTTTCATTAGTGTTGCACAGCTCCATTGGCCAATGTTTTCTTTAATTGAACCATTTTCCCTTTGGTCAGCAACCAGATGGGTTATAGTGACATTAAGAAAATGTCACCTGAGTTAGAGGCTAATGTTGGTTCTTACCATCTCTCTGTGTGAAGAGTTGGACAATGGTCTCAGCCCCACTTCCTGTCTTTAAAGAGAGTAATATTATAAAAATGTCCAGCACCATACACCCTCCCATGCTCTAGTAAACACACTGCCAACTTTGAGCCACTTTGGCAGTAGCTTATGCTACTCAAGGGACTGTATTTTTACAGAATGATGTATTTCAAAGGATATTGGTTTTCATTGTAGAGTTCATGCATTTAGAGCAATCCAAAGCCAAAACAACTGAGTTTGAGCTATGTGTTTAAAGTATTAGTCATCTTGAATACATGCCTAGGTTAAGTGTCAAAAGCTATATTTTGTGCACAAAGGAAATTTATTGCTAAGAGACCAGTCCATACCTGTGCTTATACAGCATTTTTCCATAGGTTTAATCTGAGTATATAAACTAATATCAGCCAGATTGTTGTACAGTAACATTATTGATAACAAAGGAGAAGTTCATTGAGGAGAAAAACAAATAAAGGAAACATAAAAATCTCATACTGTATGAAACTACAGAAATGGATCAAAGACTTTGACAGGAAGTTTAATGTGTACATAAGTAGATGCTGACAGAAACATGCTGTGTGTGCCAAAGGTTCCAGTGATGGAAAAGCGAAACATAGTGCTCACTGACCACAGCATGAGCCTTGACACACATTGTAAATAATCCCGAGATCTATGGCTGCATTAAGCACTAGGCTGCTGTATTAACTGCAGTAAATCTATAGCAGGAGGAGAAGCTGGCATGCAGAAATTCTTGATTAATTTTCTCCATGTAGTTGTAGGAATGGTGCCCTCCCCTGCACCCCATAGCCCACCTCTGTGTGATCATTTTTTATTCTCTGTTGCTCATCAGACTTGTGTGTGTGGATACGTCCTTCAGTACCATCAAGTTAAAAGCAGTGGATGCTTCTGGTAGAAAGCATGTGATCACTGTCAAGTTGAAGGCAAAGGTATGTGCAGAGTTATTGTGGTCAGGAAATGCTGTGAGAAATGAGCTCTGGATGTTTCCAGTGTTTAGAAGTGCTGGTTATTTTAAAAGGACATGGGTGACTTTAAAAATCAATTTTAGAAAGCCTCAAGGAATTTATTCATCCAGTTTCTGAAAGTCTAGATATAATTTCCTGTCACTAATTTACTCCAAATTTTATCAAAATGCAGACCTTATAATCAAGAAATATTAAAGAGTCCACAGCCCCCAAGCACTGTGATGTTAGTGTTGTAATATCCTTTGTAGAAAAGAGTGAGTGACGTGTCCCCTGTCCTAAGGAAGTTCTGAGGAAGTCTCTTGCCTCTACTTCTGACTGTGAGTTGTCTTTGTAGTTCTTACCTCTTTCCTCATTCTACCCCCTAACATACATACACATGCAAAGTTTATTATTTTGGCTAAAGTTTTTGCATGTACATATTTTAAGAATTTAGAAAGGTTATGTCTACTAATAACCAGTGTATGCTAGTGATCTATAAATAGTCACAAAACATTTGTTTTATATTTTCATGTCATCTTTAAGTTTTAGGTCTTGATTGGGAATTTTAAGAAATAATATGAAAGCTCAACATATTAATCATTCCCTTAGTAACAACTGGTAAAATATGAAATTGAAAGGAAACCAGGACATCCAGATTTTTATTGTTTCTGGTAGTCATCAATCAATTTTATTTCAGAAGATTGTAGTGATGAAAAGATCAGTTGTATTTGTATTTTTAAAAATGTGTCTAGCATTTAAGGTTTTCAAAAGAGAAAATGAAGAAACATATAAAGTTGTATTGGGTGGCGCAGAAAAGTTGGTATGTCTTAGTGGCTCCAAGAGACAACTTCAGTAGTGACTCATTTCTCCTGCACACACAGAAAGAACATTTAGGTATAATTTTAAGACATATCAACAAATAAATTGGATGAGTCTAGTTCATTTGTAAAATGAGTTATAGGTTTTTTTATTAAAATAAAGTTTTTTTCTTTTTAAGTTTTTAAAAGTATGCTCTAAAAATATAGATGAAATCATCTTTTATCCTTACAGAAGGTAACATTCAGCCAGCAACAGTGTTTCTGCCTCTTCACTCAAATCACTGTTTAGGTCCTCTACACTGATGAGGCTCATTTTGCCACTGGGAAGGTTAGAACCTGGGATTTTTAATGCAGCGCGGTAAAGCTCCTGTGCTTCCTAAGCAGATGGTGCTTGTGTCCACACTGCCTTCTATGTTTAGAGGACTTTGTTTATCTTATACTAATTTTAAGTATTGTGGGATCCAGTGTAGCAAAAGATTTTTTTAATATACTTAAAAATAACATTAACTTCACTAATTGCTGATACTGCAAATGATGATGTGGACATTAGTATGCTCCACTATGTCTGTTGCTTTTGAAGAAGTAGTTCTGCAATGTAGATGAGATATTTCTCTAAAACTATCTTCCTGTGTCTGTTTTATGTCTATAGTTTCACAATACATGCTATAGACAGACACTGGCAAAGAAAAAAACAAAACTTCATTTGAGGTGGGAGGAGATAGGGAGTTGTATTTGAAAAAAACATGGGATCTTATGTTGGTGGTTTTATTAGACTTACATATTTAATTTAGATTTATAGATATGCCAAGTTTGTCTTCAATATGTGGTCTCTCTTCCTCTCCTTCCCTTTCTTCCCCCCTCAGTATTTGGGCCTAGGAATATTAGTTAAGAAACATTAATCACTAAAACTATTTGGTAAAATGATAAAGTATAGTATTTTCCCCCCCCCAAAATTTTTTTTATTAAAACAAACCTTAAATTAGGGTTTTTTTTGGTACATATACAAGACTTTGTTTCTTGATTTGACATATATTAAAGAAGTGCATTTTGTTTTGTTTTGTTTTTATTCTTGAACACATGCTCTCTCAGTTCTACCACCCTCCTTTCTATCCCCAAACCACAGTGAACACCATACTGCTTTGGATAAGACAATTGTTAAATAAATAAACCCTGTGGAAAAAAAAAAAAAAACTAAGTGTGTGTTAGAGGCCCAACACTTGGACTTTGTGGTTTGTGTACATTCACTTGGGGGCAGCCTTCTTGATCAGTGCAGATTGGTTAAATGTGTTCTGGAGTAATAGATCGTAGAATCTAAGAACTATTGCAATAAATATATGTACTTAATGGTATATAATCCTTGAAGTTTTTTATTTGTCTCTCTTCAAGAGAGATTTACAGAATTATTTATTGAGAAACTATTAAAACATACACTTGAAAAAAATTTTGAGTCACTGTCTCACTGTGTAATCCCTGTTGGCCTGTAAGCTGCTGTATAGACCTGAGTAGCCTCCAGCTTGTGGTGACCATGCTTCTGCCTTCTGGGTACTAGGACTACACATGTGTGTCACCTTACCCCATTCCTGTATGCAGAGTACTTTAAATTAGATTTTCAAAGAAAAGTTTTCAGGCTGGAGCTCTAGATCAGTTGGTTAACTGCTTTACTCCAGACCTTGGATTCCATGCCCAGCACCATCAAAACAAGCAAAAATAACAATATAGTTTTTATAACTAATGCAAGTTGATATTACATATGCCCTGACTTAAGAGCTGTCTCAACTTTGGCTGGGTGGTTAGGTACATTGCATCTAGTTCTGCACGGTAATTTAGCTACTGTAGTCTAGAAGCCATTTGGAAAATGAATTTAGCTATGCGAGTTCATTCCTATGATCCCAGCACTTGAGAAGTAGAGGAGAAAAGATTGCCCCATGTTTGAAGAAAACCCAGCTATACATTTAGTTGCATTCCAGTGCTAGGCTGGCCTATAGGGTGAGATCCTATCTCAAAAGCCCCCCCAAAAAATAAATTAAAATAAAGTGGATACCCATAATGTAACTTTGTATTTTAATAATTCATAGTAAACCCCTAAACACATAAAATTGCTTTTTTGGGTCTCTTCACTTATATACAGTTTGTTTGAACAAATTGGCATTTCATGTAAGTAATAGTAATATGTATATTATATCCTTGTATTTATTGAACTTGCACCAGATGTGCAGTAAAACCACTACAGATCAGTTTAATTCATTAGATGCCTGTGTGTGTTTACACAGTTATAAATATATACACCAAGTATCATCACCTCACAAAGGATAACAGAGGACTTATTTGTATACACAGCGTTATCAATTACTGAGTTTGCTTCTTTTGTTTAACTATCTTGGGTATGGATATCTGTCCATATCATTGTAGTATGTCCTGTATTGAATCTTACTTAAATGTGGGGTTTTACTGCTTTTAATGTAATAAGCCATGTGTGTTCTTGGGGACATCTATGACCACAGAGGCTTTATGTAGACTACCAAGCCTTCCTTATATTCTTACAATACCCACACTGATAACTCTTTAACTGATAACTTTAGAACTGAAACTGGCCATTGGTAGATCCCAGTGTGATGAGTAGCAAGCCAAAGTGAATCCAATTTTCTATTTCTGAACCTAAGAGGTTTTGAGGGTACATAATTACTATGTAGAAGAGGAGAACTGACTACCAAAGCTGACCTTCATCATGTGTACCATAGAACACACACACTGTAGAGTGATGACAGACAACACACAGACAGATAGATAAGACAGGTAGACAGATGATAAGACAGATACAGATATTTAAAAGTTTAAAAAATAGTAATTTCTAATAGTTTTACCAATCTTAAATGTTTTTCTTGCTTAAAACTGTAAGTTTCATTTTTCCCTAATGAAGTAGAGGACATTTCATTATTTCTGTTTTGTTTTTTTTTGCTTTTTTTTGTTTCCTTTTTCTTCTTCATATGAGTAGTTCCTTATTATGGAAAGTCATATTTAAATTAACAATTACATACAATCATTGTTGTGTGTATTTTGATTATTTCAATGATGCTGTCTAATCAGTTGGTGACTGAAGCTTATTGAGATTAACTGTGTGACCAGAAGGAATTAAATTCAATTGGTGTAATCTCTGTTTAAAGAAAAATTGACAGTTAGCTTTGGTCCCTCCTCAGATCATACCAGTGTCTCTGATACTGATTCAGATCACTGCTGCTTACTCAGCACTTTTTGGACCTCCCCTCCCCCCCCAATAACTGTACCTTGTACTTTTTAAGCATGGAGTAGCTATTAACCAGCTCCTGATACCACTATAATTAGTACAATTTTAATATGTGCATGTGTATCTGTATGTTATATATATATGTATTACATAAATATTACAGCAGTATATATGTTTGTGGTTATAATGCTTTTTATAATGTGTCTAGTTTTTCTCAAATGCTTCTGTCACACAGACACAGGAATGACCTACTTTTATGCTTTGTCACAGTATCCTGTAGAGCCACCAGATTGTGTTGTAGACTTTCCTGTTCCATTTTCTGTTTCCTGGACACCACAGGTAAATAATAAAGTTTATTTTCAATAATTGAATGTTATATTCTTTCTAGTTTAATGATCATTTTAGAGCCTAAAATTATTATTATTATTATTATTATTATTATTATTATTATTGTTATTATTGAGACAGTGTTTCTCTGTGGCTTTGGAGGCTGTCCTGGAACAGCTCTTGTAGATCAGGCTGGTCTTGAACTCACAGAGATCCACCTACCTCTGCCTCCCGAGTGCTGGGATTAAAGGCATGCGCCACCAATGCCTGGTTAAATTATTTATTTTTAAGCATTTATGCTAACCCTTCTGTAATAATTCATATTTTCCAAAATTTAATATCTATTTTGTCTCTCTACACATGAGCATGCACATACACTTTCTAGATCTCTTTACTTAAGGCAAACATATAGAAGCTCTACTGATGTACAGTGTAATGTTAAATTTAGAAAGCAGTGAATAAAAGTATGTGGAATTTTGTATGTTGTTGAAATTGTTAATATTGATGACATATATAACCTTTATAAAAGGTAATATGTCTTTTGTGTCTGTGTTTACCCTACTTAGGCTAATTCAGTTTCCTAGTACATTGATAGAGATTAATGCTTTTATAATCGTAATATAAACTGATGTTATATGCTTAGAAGGAGGTATTAGTAGTAAAGTATTTTTAGAAATCATAGCAGGACAGCGTCATGATGAGATTGTTCACTGTCCTCCCTTGCACCAAGTCCATTTTGGTAATTGACAGTACCTAGGAGAAAACATCTCTTTTTATAGATTGGAAAGTGAAAACAAACTCATAGTGACACTTTACAAGTGTTCCCTAAGTGAAAGTCCTCCATGTTTTTGTTCTGAACTATTTAAAGATATACAAAAGTGTATGTTTAAATATACATGAACAGTTAGTTATACATGGGTTCTTAAAATATTCTTCTTCTTATTGTATGTGTGTAGATGTGTGTGCTGTAGTGCACTTGTGGAGATTAGAGGACAGATTTGTGGAGTTGGTTCTTTCCATTTTTATGTGGGTTCCAGAGATTAAACTCAGGTTATCAGCCTTGAGTGGCAATCTTTGCCCATTGAACCATGTTACCTGCCCATACATTTATTTTAAAATGCTTAAGAGGACATAGGTTTGTAAGGGTTTGAATAATTAATCAGATATTTTAAGTCATATTTAATTTTTTTCATTTTCTTCTTTAAAAACAAGAAAAACAACAAAAAATCCCATTTTCTCTAGTAGAATTTGGTAAAACACAGAAAAATAAAAGGAAAATGTAATTTTCTATTGGCATTAGATGTAAGGATTCAGATATTATGCTGGCCTGCCCCTGTCACCTGACAGAATATACTCAGACAGTATGCTGGTCAGCCAAGGTACAAAGGACCCGCTTAAAAGAAAGACCCCTGCCCACTTATGTTCTCTCTTTCCTGTTCTCTTTCTGCTATCTTTCCTGCTCTCTTTTCCCTCTCTCTTTCCTGTGATTCCCCTGGGGCAGACAGGGTTTTTCCTGTCTCCGTCTTCTCTTCTGTCCTCTCTCTGTCTCTGTGTCTCTACCTCTTTTCTCTCCACCACCCCCTCCCTTTCTAATAAAACTCCTCATTTAAGCTCTGTCTGCCTGGCATATTTGGCCCTCTGCAGGTCACCCTCACCTGCCGTGGAACCTGCCAAGGTTTCCCTCGAAATTTATCCTAACACTAGATGTAGCTCATAAATTTATAAAAATAATGTTTCTTTTCAACAGTTCATTTGCCTACCTATTGTTTTATTTTTCCTTTAGAAACATCTTTTTCATTTGACTCTGGAAGCCTCATCTTTCAGTTAAACTTCCTTGAGGTCATGGGAAAACACTGCGTGTCGATTGCATGACCCTTTCCAAGATGCTGTGTGTAATTCACACTTTATTATCTGTCTTAGTGATGAGTTTCTTAGTTTTCTTTTTATTGTAGATACTGTGTAAGTTTCCCTGAAAGGTCATGATGAGTATATGTGACACCAAAATTAGTTTTGACGGCTAGACTGGAAACTGCTTGAGAACAGTTTATCTTAGATTTGGTGTTCTTGCTTTACACACGTGTGAAGTCTTAGGCTTGTGGTTGTGCAGTTAATATGATATTAGTCCATTAACGCTTTAGATTTGACTATTGGAAACTCCCTTTTCTAATAGCTCCAAGCAAACAGGGTCACTAAGTAGTAAATGGAATATAATATTTTTTTTAAATTTCTAGATTATATTAGAATTCTTTTCAAAGTTCTAAAAAAATTAAGATTCCTTTTAACCCACAGCTCACATTTTACATATGTTATTTTGTCACATTTGCTTTAGATATGTTCTCTCCCTTTCTATTAGAAATAAAATGATCTTGGAGCCACACTGGCCTCTTTTCTGTGTGCTTTAGTTTTCTGAATAGGACTTTCTTTCCCTTAAATTCTAACTATGCTATCCATGCATATTCTTATGCTATATTTGCAATGTAGGGTATTTTACATCGGTATCATTTAGTTGATTTATCTATACTCATCTCTGTGTGTCAGTTCACTAACTTAAAATGCTATATATTTTTATGACCATCAATCAATTTATTCACTATTTTATTGGTAAAGTTATCCACAGTTTTTTATTATCAGCCTGCAATAGAATGCTTCTATGTACTTCCCAGTGCATATATATGAGGATTTGTATATAGATTATTCCTATTATAACTGTTATATGGAATATGCCTCCTTGAAGTTACTAAATGCTGCCAGCTTGTCTTCCCAAATTGGTTGTGTAAGTCTGTACTTACATTCAGGCACATGTAGTAATTCTTATATCATCATATTTTGATCATGGTCTGCCTTTAATTCTTACCAAGAATGATAATTATTACTGTGCTCATAATCTTTGCCTGTTAGAAGTGTTTTTAGGAGATGTGCATCTCTCATATTGTTTTTATACTAATGCTTTTCTGGTCACAAAGAATATGAACATCTTTTTATGGCATGTTTTAACTCTGTGTTATATGTTTTGTCAGACTTTCAGAGTGGCCATATATCAGCCTTAATGGTTTTGATTTTTTAATATGTCAAAGAAAATCAGTATCTTTTTTCTGAAAAGATATAAACTTTATATCATATTCAAGTTTTATAGAACAATCTAAACTTACTCCTGTCTTCACTATACATGCAGTTTGGAGATGTCTTCATTTGTATCTGTCTGAGGTAATTTCAGTTCTTTTTCTTTTCTTTTTTGAAATACAATACATGTAATTAAAATTTCAAAAGTTTCAAAATTTTTTGTTTGTGTCTACGTATCAACCTATGTTTTCGTGATAGAATATAAACTCTGATTCTATTTAACATTAGAGCATTGGCAATACTGGCTTGTTTCTTGAAAGTAAGACTCAAGGTACAGCAACATTGCATTTGGTCCTTCTTCATAGACTAGCTGGGGCAGTTCTGCTCCTACAAGTTCAGGTGTTTTCTTTTTCTTTCTTTTTTTAAAATTATTTTTAAATGGTTTGATTCTTAAGCAAATGGTTGTTACTGTTGTAGTCTAGTAACAAAGTTGTATTTAAAACACTGTAAATAGAGTCCACATAACGGATTTTACAGTCTTTGTCAGCTTCTGTACATTTCTTCTCTGGCTCCAGTGTTCCTGGACTTTAAACTCGGAAGATCTTTATTTCCCCTTCTTTTGTAACATAACAGACATGGCATTGTGGCATCCGTGTTAGAAATGGGTGATTTTCCGTATGGTCCCCGTCTTCCTGCTGGGCTGATAATGTTGTGATGTATTTTTCCTTTGCCCTGATGAGAGGTCTGCTGCTGCTGCTCTGACATGTTCATTTGGATGAGTAATTATAACGTGCACAGTGTCAAGCTGAAGATGGTAGGTTCTGTGCGTCATGACAAGCCCAGTAGCCAGTGCAGGTGTCTCACAGCATGATCAGCAACAGCCAGTGTATTCTGGCTCAGAGGGGACGTTTAGAGTCATAAGAATCAGCGGCAAGGGCAAGGCTGCTGCTGCTATTGCTGCAGTGTTTTGTGCCAGAGAAACACAGTGTCTGGGTCTCCTTGGATGCTCAACGTTTTTACTCAGTAAATCCTCCTTGCAGTTTTCAGTATACAATGTAAGAAGAGCTCGTGATTTTTGTCCGCCTCATGCCACATGTGCTGTGAGATACATTAACTGTAAGATTTCTATACACAGACCATTTATGTCAATATTGTCAACTGATAGATTTGAGTGTGCTAATGTCAGGTTTTTAGGACAAAATGAAAGTCATTTTGTCCAGGTCACAGACTAATCAAAAGTAGCTGTTTTCTACCTGAAAGTGTGTCATTAAGTGCATATTTGGGGAAGTAGCATTGCCATGGGCAGTTAGAATATTTAGATTTGATCAGATACAATGAGCAGTGGCCTGTGTATTTCCTGCCATGGAGAAATCTGATCCTCCTGGGATAGTGCCATGGATGAAGAAGAGTGACACTAGCAGTGGAGCCTCTGGCAGGCAACTTCTGATGACTGAAGAGTGTAATTAAAGAAAGAGTCCCATTGAACAGCAGGGAACAGTCTTTTCCTCAGAGCTGCAGACCTGCAATTGGGCATCCTTACATCCTTACTTCACTTCAGTTTACACTTTACCTTTGTGTTTTTGTTTTTTTTGTTTTGTTTTGTTTTGTTTTGTTTTGTTTTGTTGTTTTTTAGACAGGCTGCACAAGATAGCCCAGGCTGTCTTGGAACTCATTATGTAGCTCCAGCAGTTCTGAAACTTAGTGCACTTCTTCAGCCTCAGTCTCATGAGTATAGGTTGTCAGTCAGTGGTAAGCTACTACACTTGGCCCTTAAACTGTATAATTTCATACAAGTTTCTTGGCTGCCTTTTGCCTCAGTTCATACATGAACTCTTCCTCTTCACAGATGTTCAGGGAAATATACTTGGTTTCTCACAGAAGCACACAGAGTAAGTACAGCTATCTGGTCTAAGAAAGGCATTGGAGTTCCAAGCTATTAAGACTCATGTTCC